ATCAGCATCATCATCATCATCATCACGCCAAGTGGTTCATGGTCATGGGAAGTCACTCAGTTACTCTTGATCGTATACTCAGAGCCACCAGTAGTTACCAAGAATTTTACGACTGGTACTGCAGCAGCTTACGCTTACATCCGCCAACTTACCCTTACACCCACGGGCATCGCATGTGACTGGTCATGGCAGTCACACCGATAGCCAAGGCAGGATCGTGAAGCAGGGCAGCTAACGAACGCGACGAGTGGTCATAGCAAAAGTCAAGTTATGAGACGCTCATTCTCACCATCATTGCTTCAACTTCAAAACCGTAGTAGGAGCAAAGCTGCTGCTTCGTCCACTCGTGGAGTTGCTGCTCTACCAATACTATCACAACCGCCACTGCTACGACTACAACAGAGGCTGCTACCACGTCTATGATGCAAGATTCCCGCGTTTTCCCTTCATTCAGATTGTAACAGTGGTCATTATCAAAAGAAAGGCAGGGAGGACAGGCAGTCGTCGATGCAGAGCGTGGCAATGCCAACACAGGCAACAACTAAACCGAGCAAACAAGCGCTTGAGTGATTTCGCAATGAACACCTGGGGAAGGAAAACATCCTTCTCTTCTAAGTAGGAGATCTAGAAGCAAGAGGACAGCCACCAACTGCACCACAAAGAGGTCATGGAAGTAGTTCGTGGAAGGGTTTTGAAGAAGTCAGAGACAGAAGCGAGGAATGCTTACGAAGAGCTACAAACCAAGCCGCAAGAAAGCAGGCACAGCAGATAATAGCAGAACACGTCTGGGAACAAGATAGTGAAGCTTTCGGGACTCGTGTAAGAGGCACCAGCAGTGTCAAACAACAGCAAGCGCATTGTCGTTGTTTTGACCCGCTATGGCAGCAGAGACCGCAAGAGAGCCTGTTATCGTGAAGCTGGAAGATGACATGCTGAATATGCATTGCTCTCACTTGCAGCTCCGTGCTATGGTTCACCAGGAATCCAACAGGCTCAGATTCACCAGGAATCCAACAGGCTGAGATTGACTCTGTCAATACTTCTCAAGCCCCAAACCGAAAGTGTTTTCTTCGCAGGAGTGCCTCGATGACAGCACCACACGGGCCGTCGCAGCAGGATCTCTCGACGGGAAGCCACGATGTGATGGTCGTCATACCGTACTTTCTCTTGGGTTATAGACGACGAAGATGATTCTCGTCGTCGTCAGCATCGTCGTCATCATCATCATCAGCATCATCATCATCATCATCACTGCTATTGTTATCATCAGCATCTTTACTTCCATGTTGTTGGCACTCTGTCTCCGATTCTTTTTGCTGCTCCCGGCAGGAGTGCATACGTGCCTCTCTTCGAGAAGCAAATGTCACGCCGGCGGACATCAGGCACAGAAGGGCCATGGACTACCCGTCTTCATCATCTTCATATTCGCGATCGTCCTTAGCATCAACATCCTCCTCATCATTTCCCATCGCCTTCATTACATTCGTCATTGCAACCCTCATCATCATCATCACCACCACCATCGTCATCGTCATCCTCAGCAGCATCATCATCACCATCATCGCCACCATCGCCATCGTCATCCTCAGCAGCATCATCACCATCATCATCACCATGACCGTCGCTGTCATCATCATCAACATCATCGCCATCCCTCTCCTCCTCCTCCTCCTCCCCGTCATCATCATCATCGTCATCAACATCATCACCATCATCATCATCATCTTCGTCACCATCATCACCATCGTCATCATCATCATCATCATCACCTCCATTGTCATCATCATCTTCCTCATCCTCAACATCATGGTCACTGTCATCGTCGTCATCATCGCCATACTTTTGTCACAATCCTTATCCTTGACAGTCTCCTTCGTCCTTACCACCTACCAGCGTCAGCGGCATTATGCCCCGACAAGGACACCTTTATGAATGGAGCAGTAGGAGTAGCAGTAGTAGTAGCAGTAACAGTAGCAG